TGTACTTCGTAAGGTTACTAAGCACTTTATTACATCAAAGTAATGTTATTGTTAAAATGAAGACATACTTGGCCAAGTAAATTATCACCTCCAAATAGAAAATCTGCGATAATCCAATTCTCATGTACTCGATTGGCTAAGATGAAAATTACACTGATATGTTTTCCAAGTCCAGGCAGGCCAGACAGCGGCTCACTAAGCCTTCTGAGACTTGGGGAGCACTTTGTGGTTGCCTCTGACTTGCTATCGGCAGTAAAGAATATCCTGTCCAAGGATGTCTATTAAAACCTTAATTTCAGGACACTGGTTAACCTGGAGACCCCATTCAGCCTTTATCCTCCACTCCCCCTGATCAATCTGAAATAAGAGCATGACAATGAAGGAAAATCCCAGAGCCTCCTTGGGTGTGGCCCTTGCATCTTGGAATGTTCTCCACCCCAAACTCTTGGGAAGTTATAGGGCCAGACAGACATGTGTGGGCGGCTCCCCACCCAGGCAGACGTGGCTTGCTGCACGGAGCTCCTCTCTTTGTGTACAACATTTCGAGACAAAATGGAATGATCGCCACTTGGGAGAGAACTCATTTTATTCAAATAACACCACCAAATAGCAAGATTTATGGCACATATTTCTGGGAAAGCGCTCGACAGCAATCAGATGCCTGTCTGTGTTACCGCCCCCTTGGGACAGCCTGCAGGTAGAGCCAGAGCCTAACTATGAATATATGACAAAGGCAATGGAGACTGAGGTTTATAAATTATTTTCTGACGCTGTTTGTGAAGGATGAAACTACAGTTGGTGTGGGTGGCAGCGGACTGCAAGATCAATGGCAAATGTGTCCTCACCAGACATTCCAAAGACCTCATAACACAGCTTTTTCTCCCGGAAAGAGACCAGTATCAACTCATCCGTCAAGACACTTGAACTCAGTGTCTCTTCTGGGTAAATCATGAGGCTAGGAGATATTAAGGAGACCCCTCCCCTCCCCAAAATATTTCCAACATAGACCAAAAGCTCTCGTTTCAGTTGGAAAGAGGAGACTTTCTTGTGGATAAAGATAAGGGCCAGAAGAGAGAGAGGAAGAGAAAGAAGCTAACACTACCCCATCTCCTGCTGGGCCTGTGGCACTTAGATTACATCATCCCATCCGATCATCATCATCACAAGGTAACATCGTTGTCATCCCATTCTAGGGATGAGCATGCTGAGAACAGAGAGGTGAAGTGACTTGCTCAGGTCCCACAGCTGGGAAGTGGCAAGAAAGTGTTCGTTCTTAGGCTGCCTCATTCTGATGGGGCCAGAATCAAAGTGAAGTTTTAAAGTTGACCTCCCTATCGATTTTGTCAGGGGTAAGCACCAAATTTTGAAAACCAAATAACATTTGGCCATGCTTCCTCTTACTCAATTCACTCAAGGGGTGAGGGCTACTAACTCCAGCTCTGAAGCTTTAATGTCCCTTCCTGTTGATCAACTATATTTCTAAATAAATCATCGTTCCTGTCCACCCTACAGCCAGATCTCTGTCTCTTCCCTGGCTGAATGTTCCCTTCCCCCACTGACATCTTCCCACATTCATTTAGCTTCTCTCTCTCTCTCCCTCCCCTCACACACACACCAATTCAGACACACACCTTCCCACCACACACCCATATGCAAAATAAAATTAGAAATACCACCGGAATTTCAAGGTTTTTAGGGAACAGAGATCTTCAATCAATACAGCCCAAACGAAGCCCTCCCAGCTCCTCGCCTCCCGGGCCAGGTTGAGAGGCAGGCAGGGCTTGTGAAAAGGGCGCAGACAGCCATGATCTGACACAAAGCGGCTCTCAAGGAAGAAATGCCATTGTGCTTCCCCGTGACCACCCTGTGGCCACTGGAACTCACAGGGCTACCAGAGCCTCAGAGGCCATCACCTGGCAAACGTGTCCAAGCTGAGTTTTTTTTGTGTTTGTTTGTTTTTGCTTATACATAAGGTTTCCTCCCCCCCCCCCTTTATTGTAATGTACACTGATAAAATACAGAGAAAACAGTATCTGATGATTCAAAACTATAGGTTGGGCTGATAAGCACATGGCCCTCATTTTAAGGGATTGCTCTTGTTTTAATCAACCGGTTGGGAAAGCAAGAAACAATTATTTATTTATTATGTTTGCCTTCACCCAGAGGAGTAGAACAGGGTGAGGGTCAGGGGAGGTGAGACATGACAGCCGGGGAAACTGAAGTAGTCGTGGCGGCTCCAACATGCCTGCAGTCTTTCTAAAGCCTCTGCGTCCCTCACCCCTGCCCCCTTTTGACACACACTGGCCAACTGCACCCACCCTCTTGGTGTCCCTCAGCACCCACCTCAGAAAAGCGGAGTCGGGAGGGGAAGGAATGGGAACAGGGAGATGGGACAGGATGCCGGGCAGAGCTCCTAGTTCAAGCTCTGTTGTCCCCCCTTCTCCCAAATGAGACCCCCCCCCAGGTCTCAGAGTGATGTTGGGGTGTGTAGAGGCGGAGAGAGGGTGCACTCGTTCAAATCCAGGCTCTGCCACTTACCTGCTGTGTGGCTCTGGGCATGTGGCTTAGCATCTCTGGGTCTCAACCTCCTCATCCACACAGTGGGGACCATTGAGCTTCTGCTGAGAAGGTTAACAAAGCTGCTTTATGCTAAAAGCTTAGCGCAGTGCCTGGTTCTAGAGCCCAGTAAATAGTGACACTAACTAGGCACTGATGCTCAACCAGTGCTTACCATGGGCAGGCCCTGTTCAAGGGCTTTGCGAATATTGTCATAGAATCCTCACATCTCTGTTTTACAGATGAGGAAGTGGAATCTGACGATCACACAGTAGTGAATGGTGGCTATTCAGACCCAGGGGGACAGGCTCCAGAGTCGAGTCTCAACCCCTCTGTGACAATGACGCTGGTCTTTATGGGTGTTGCCCCTGGCAGGCTGAATTCTAAACCCCCCAGGCTCCTCTCTGTCCCAGAGTGGAGAGCAGGGAGGGTTGTCAGCCACAGCGGAAAGGCAAGAGCAGATGATGGTGAGAGCATCCACATCAGGGCTGAATCCAGATCCCAGTTGTAACCGGTGGCTGAAGTCAGGCAGGGCGCCCCAGCCCACTGCAAGGGAACCAGGGGAGGGGTGGGGGGCAAGTCCCCGATGCTGAGAGGGGTGGTCAGGGAGCCGCCCCCAGAAGGGGAAGAGAGGGTTGCAGGACTGGGGGTACTCAGCTGCCATCCCCGCCGCTTCCTGGCCCCCACTCGCTGGCGCCCAAGTGGGAGGACCGCAGCTGCCCGCTCCCTCCTCCCACACAGACCGTTGGAAGGCCGGACTATAGTTTTAAAAAAAAACTATGAACAAATTCCTATGCACACTGCACATATCTTATTTTGA